CAGGAGGCGCGGGTGCGGGGTGTCCCGGGGCAGCCCGAGGCCTCCCGGCGGCAGGAAAAGCCGGAGTGGGCAGAGCGAAGGTCAAACCTTCCAGAAGCGCTCGGGAACACGAGGGGCGCTGAACCAGCCCCACGTCTCGACTCCATTAAAAGTTTGTTCCGCCAAGCAACAGCGGGCAGCCTCACCCGGGACAGCGGGCCCCTTCCACTCCTCGCAGCACCGGGCCCGTACTCCCAGCCGTGGCACAGGCCCCCTTCACAGCCACTTCAGGGAAGAAACGTGCTCTGCAGAGAAGTCCCATGAAACCAACATGGTGCAGGCTGTGAAGCTCAGGCTTTCACATGCTATTACTTCCACAAGCACCAGCTTATACAAAGCAGTTACATCCACCCACATGCATTATATTTATGCACACCTTTGAGACTTCAATCAATGATGCACTCATGTAGAGTGAAAAATACTCTATGGAGATTGTGTCATACAGCAAACATACAGTCAAACCACCACCAAATCCACTATTTTACATTCTGTAAGCAGCTTGTGGAATAGAAAATAAAGATGCACTACTAGAAAAGTAGTGCACTAAGAAGAATGTTGTACTCACAGATGTAGTTTTATTTTTAAGGGAGTGAGTAGCTCAGAAAACAAGAAAACAACTAAAAGCAAGCCAAAAAGCCCTCTACAACCTCAGAACCTAAAACAGTTTCACAACACGTGATCATACTTGCCATCTGTCAGTTCAGGAAAGATTCTAAAATACACATCCTGAATGCAAAATGGATTTTATCAAGCAAAAAAAAGAGGCCAATTTCACTGCACAAAAAAAAAAGGTTAGGATTGCCTCAATACTTTTAGTTATGAAATATCTTTTTTCTTAATTTTACCCTTACCCAGTGCAAAATCACTGGCTTTCAATAAAGAAATACAGGATCACTAAACAAAGCACTAGTCTTGCAAGTCAATTTTTTGCCTTTCCCTGGTAGCTATTGATGTGTTGGTAACTTGTAGGTATTGCTTCTGAAGAGCAAACACACCCTGGATGTGCCCATATGCACATGGTACTAGAGAAAGATAAAATAGATTGGGCCTTGGGATGAGAAGTACATGCTTGTTTTGAGCCATAGTAGAGGTCTGTTTGTGTTTCAAAGAAGGCTTGTAAGTTTATCTGTATGT